ATAACTGTGAACCAAATAATACTGTGATATTCTGTTATAGTAGCAGAAAGTGGACCAAGAGAGAATAGGGGGTAGACAATTCCAAGAGGGATGATGATGATTGCTTGACTTTAATGCTATACCCTTTCTACCCAGATTCAGGAAAATACACTTACCTCTCCTTCTCTCCAGCCCCAACTGAAGACTCTCTGGAAAAAGAAAACAGATGGGTTGAGATTTCATCACATGACTTCAAGACACATCTCCAACCCACTCAGTGTTTTGTTTTCTTGGGGCGGGAACTGGGGATCAAACTCAGGACCTTGCACTTGCTATGCCGGTGTGGCGCCACTGAGCTACATCCCCAGCTCCACTCAGTGTTTTGGTCATTAGCCAGAAGCACACATTCACAATGGAATACGATTAGACACTCACAACCTAAATGCAGTCAGGTCCATAGTCAGGACACCAACTGGAATCCATGCTGAAAATGTTCTGCTTTCTAAGATCCAAAAGAATAATGGGCAGGAATGACACTAGACAGACAATTCGCAAAAATAAAACTAGAAAATAAATTTGGAGAAAATGTGACCTCACTAGTCATAAAAGACATAAGTTTCAAACAATGGCTCCATTACTCATCTGTAAAATTTTCATGTTACAAATTCCAATATGCATGTTCTTATTACATAGATATGACTTAAGATATGATTAAGAAGTAAAATGAGCTCTATTCCATATTGCTAGTGGTAGAATAAATTAATTGAAGCCCTTTGGGAAAATAATTTGGCAGTATGTAACTGAATTCCTTTAATCCAGTAATTCAGTTTTTGAAAATCTAATCAAATAGGTAATTTCAAAATAACATTTTTGCACCAAGAAATCCTAGATGAAAAATCCTAGATGCAATTAAGAATCTAACTTTAAATGTTCAAAAATAGGCAACGAGTTTTTAAAATACTGCTACTGTGAAGATATTGTAATGACATGAAAAACTTTTATGCTATGGCACTGAGTAAAGAAAATAAGATTTGAAAGAATCAGAACTGCATCATTACAACTACATTAAGAACTATATTGCTCAGGGCCGGGTATTTAGCTCAGTGGTTCCACCGCCTGCCTTGCAAGCGCAAGGACCCAAGTTCGATCCCTGGTACCAAAAATAAAAAGAACTATATTGCTCAGTGAGCACACACACACACACACGCAATTTCATTCAGTCCTCTCAGCAATCAGTGGGAGAACTGAGACACAGAGGGTTAAGGAACTGGTACCTAGTCAAATATCAAGTGAGTGGTGAAGCTGAGTTAGGCCCTTGTACCAAAAATGCCACAAAAGCAACCACTAACTATGTCCTGTTACCCTTGGAAATACGACTGTATTTCCCAGTTCTGGCCAGTGAGATATAACAGAAAATGTTATGGAGGGCAGGGGGCTTCCTAAGAAGCATAGTAAAGGTAGCCGCAATCCCCTTTCCCTCCGCCCTCCCTCAGTCCTGCTTCCTGAGAATGAGGTGACCTTCACTGAAGACATGAGCTAGGTCACTGGGACAGAAATAGAAAAGGAGCTGGAGTCTTGATGACAGGGACCTTGAATTCCCTACTTCCAGACTTCTTTGATGTGAGAAAACGAAACCCATATGTGGAAAAGCCACTGTGATTTCAGATTTCCTGCTAAATACAGCCTGGCCTCATTCCCAGCTGCCCAGCCTCTCTTCCTCAAGGTTTCAAAGTTGGTGGAAAGAGAGGCCTTAAATCCCACTGACTTTCTTCTTTCAGAAACTGAGAAGAATGAAAGTCTATTATTGGTTCAACTGCCTTAACTTACTTAGAAATACTCATCATTAACTAGGACATCCTTACAACTGGGTTAGGTTGACCAGCACCAAATTAACCTTGGACATGTGAAACATTTTGGGATAAAACATACTATATCTACAATACACGCTAGCTAAATCATACATTCGCATAGGCTGAACATTCTATTTTCACACAGAAAGAAGATGCAATATTCTGCAGAGGAAGAGCCTCAACACAAAGGCAGACACTGTTCCCTTTACGTTGGTGGTCGTGTTCAATGCAAGCTCCAAGCTGAGCTCTAAATAGCAGAGTCCTTTAAACCCAGTCCAAAGATATCAGAGCTCTCCCAGGAGTGGCTGAGTGTTCACAGCTGACTCAAGTCCAAAGCCTCCAAACCTCCACCCCAGGTTTCTCCTGTAGAGAGAATCCAGCTGGGCCCTGTCTTAGAAAACTTTCTGCAGCCCTGCCTTCCACAGTCTCCCTTGTCCTGCGAGAACAGTTCTCAAGTTTAAGAGGGCCTCAGAACTGCCTGGGGTGCTTGTTCAATCGCAGACTGTTGGACTCCACCTCTCAAAGTTTCTCCTTTGGTAGATTCGGGCTCAAGCCCAAATATCTGTGGCTCTTATAAATCCTCAAGGGGTGCTGAAGCTGCCAGCCAGGGACCACACTTGGAGAACCACTGTCCTAGAGAAAGCTGCGTTTCTTCAGGCACCTTTTTTCCAACTTATGGCGGATTGTCCTCCCCCTAGATGTGGTCACAGATGGCTGGAGCCTGTAGTGGCCTCCGTGTGGCTGCCTTGAGAATCTGCTGTTGGGAGAGGGTCCCCTCGGGGTCTATGGGAGTATTCCTCCTCACTGGCCCCTGGGCCAGGCACCCCCATGGCCTGTGTTCCTCTGGGGCATCCCTTACAGTGTGGAGGATGGAATCTGAAGGGAGGAGATCGAATCACATGATTTATTTTCCTTTAATGTCTAAATATGTTAAAACACATGTATTGTTTTATAATAAAATAATTAAAATGTTAAGGAATATAGACTCTTTAGGAAATGTTTGTGAATAATTAACTGAATGGCTAGTAGGTGCTAGGCCTTGTACTAAATGTTCATTTAATCACTGTCACCATATTTCGGATCTACAACAGGCTTACAGAAGTAGCTTGTCCAACATAACACAGAGGAAAGACTCAATACTAGGTCTACCCAAATCCAAAGACTGGGAATCTTTTTTGTTTGTTTGTTTGTTTGTATTAAATTCTTTTATTGGTACATTGTAGGTATACAACACAATTACATTTCTCATTGGGAATTGTACCTTTACATAATGCATCTTGGTTCTTATTTTTTCCCCATTCCTAACCCTCCCTTCACACCCTCCACCCTTCCCTATTTACAAACACGTTATTTCCATTTTTTCCATTTCTCATCATTTTTTCCTTTCCCTTCTTTCCTTTCCCCTGTGCCTCCCACTACCCCTACCCCTTTGGACCTTTTATTCCTATTTTACATTATCGATTATTCATTGTAATCATTGGTACATTTTAGGTATACAATATAATGACATTAATCATTGGAAATTTGCACCTTTACATAGTCTCTCTTGGTTCTTGTTTTTCACCCTTGCCCAGCCCTCCCTTCAACCCCTCCAGCCCTCCCTACTTACAAAACTTTTGTTCCTATTTTTCCATTTTCTCATATTAATCCCATTCCCTTCTATCCTTTCCCTTAGCCCTCCCACTTCCTTCCCCTTTGCCCCTTTTCTTCCTATTTCACATGACCTAGTATACTTTTAGTCCTTATTTACACTTTCAGTTTCTCACACCAGAGAAACTATTCGGTATTTACACATCTGTGTCCTATTTATTCCACTTAAGAGTATTGCCTCAATGTGCATCCACTTAGCTATAAATGTCTCTAATTTCTCATTTTTTATGGCTGAGTAGTACTCCATTTTATAAAAAAACCACATTTTCTTTATCCAGTCTCGGAATCTTAATGCTTAGGGAACAATGCAGTTTGAAAATCCTGCTCATTTTCTAATACTTCCAAGACATGTATTCTCAATGAGGGCAGCTTTGTCCTGAGGGATCCAAAACTGGTTCTTGCTGGGAGGGGATATTTACTTCAAAGCTCAGATACACATACAGTGCATAATAGGCTTGCAGTTTATCTGTTGTATTAAATTTTCATGGGTGGGGAGGGACAATTAGGAAAAGATATTTTAAAAGGCTCCTTATGGGGCCCATAATCAAAATGGAAACAAGGTTGTGCAGCGAGGACGTCCCAGGTTTTCTGACAGGGCAGACGACAGTCAAAATTCCCACCACCTAGTCCCTGAAAGTTTTCGGTCATTATACCATGGGGTCCCCAAAAACTCCAAAAGAAGTCACTAAGGAAGATACAAGAATTGAAGATTTTGAGACGTACACATTAAATTTTCAAGTAAAAAAAAATAAAAAATAGACATCGAGCATCTAGCTACCAAACCCAAAGACTGGAAATTATATGGAGCAAATCTTATGCTCTCACTACAAATGCTGAGTCACAGAAAAATTATTGAATTGAGTCTTTCACTTAAAACCGTCATCTTTGAATATAGTCTGTTAATGCTTCAGAAAACCAATTGCATTAAGTATTTTCATACTAAAACTTTAAAGCTTTTTCTTTATTTTTATGACCAAAAAATACATAAATAATTAAACTGCCTACTGTTTAAATAGAGTGGTCTATAACTAGCTTCCTGTGATGCTAAGCCACTAGGAAAAAGCCCATGGTCCAGCCGGCACACTGCACACCTCAACCTTCCCCGTAGACTCCCGAAGCCTGAGATTTTAGCCCTCACACTGAGTGAAGAAGTCTGCCTGCCTTGGTCCACACCCGTGTTTTCCAAATAGCTTTGCCCCTGCTTCATGAAGGACACTAAAACTCTAGGGAATCTACTCTGGGAAATTCTAGATTAAACCTCCTTGTTTGAGGTGCTTAGCTTAGCTTGCGAACTCACCAGAAACATGAACTGTAGACACAATTTCGGAGATTTACAAAACTGATACAAACGTTTGAAGCCGCAACCGCCAGCAATTTGAGACACAGCAACATCAGCCTCTTGTTCAAAGTCACAGTTACACTTTTTGGTGCCTATGCATACAATACGCCTCACAGAGCTGCCCTTGTAGCCTCCCCAGGAGCACAGAGACAGCGCGCGCTTCCCTCACAGCCTCGCGCGATCCTCTCGCGAGAACAGCCGGAGTTGGGGGCTCTCGCACCTTAAATGCTCACATTTGCTCGTTGCTCAGCCAGCCATCTTCTTTCTCTAACGGCTGGTTTTGAAAGTTTGGAGGAGAATGAAACCTAACAGAACTTTCTGAAGAAATAGTCCACCGGCTCCATGGACTAGGAGCTATGGATAAAAGTAGCCCAGGGTAAGTCACTTCTTGTCCCTGTCTGGGCCTCAGTTCCCCCATTGGCCAAAGGAAGGAGTGGATGATGTGGCTTCTGAAACTCCTCTAATCTGACCGAGCATCTATAAAATGAAGGGATGGAAGAAGACGGCTTCTCTCATCTCAGGAATCACCTTACTCCACTCACTCTCAGAAGGCCACTTTAGCCTGGAGAGGTGAAACAACTTGCCCAAGGCTACAAAGCTGGTCAGAGGCAGAGCAGGGTCTTGACCTGCCATGCCTGAGTCCTAACTCAGTGTTCATGTGTTTTACATGAACAGTGTACATGCGTGTGTGAGCACATCTATGTGGATACGTTACCAGATGGCATATTCTTATTGGGCTCTTAGTCACTTTCCTGTCGTTGGGACAAAATACCTGACACCCACAATTAAAGGAAATAAGAGGCTTGTTTTGGCTCATAGTGTCAGTCCATGGTCAGCTGGCTCAAAGGCAGAAACAGGATGACAGAGGAAAGGTGCTCAACCCTTGGCAACCAGGAAGCAGAGACAGAAGGAAGGAGCTAGGGGTGAGAACACACCCTTCCAGATCACACCCCCAGGGACTCACCTCCAACCAGGCCCCACCTTCTAATAGCACATTCAGCTATGAACTCTTCAATGGATTAATCCACTGATGAATAGCGCTCCCATGGTCCAATCACACTCCAAACACATGAGACTTCTGGGGAAAATTTTAGAACTAAGTCATATAAGCTCTGATGTTTCCAAAGGCTTCCATGCATGTTAGAGATGCTGTGCAGCCAGTCTGGATGTGAGGCAGGAGGTGGCAGGCATGGGGAGGTAAGAGCTACAGAAATCACAGAGAGGATTGTGTCTTCTCCTCCCCTGTTCCTCCTTCACAAGGGCTGGTGCCCCTTGCTTAGCTTGGCATTGCCACACCCAGCCCAGCTGCTTGAGCTGCTTCCCACTCCCAGTCCAGGAGTATCAGGAAGGACTGGGCACTGCCAGTCAAGCAGCAGCACTTTGTCCTTGACTCTTTGTTCTCTCAGTTGATCAGTTTGATCTTTTGCCCTAAAAGAGATTTTCAGACTTGCTAATTTCAAGCCTTTCCACAGTTTTCTCTGTCTTCATCCCCTGTACTTCCTCTCCTGCCATTTCACTCAGCACTTCTTTATTGAGTCTCTCAAGATCCAGACAGCAATTTCCCCCCATAGCTGCTCCTGCAAGTTTCCTTGCTTGGGTCAAATTCCCATATCTTCTGACTACTGTATTTTTTTTTAACTATTTGTACCTGACTGCTGGTCCCTGGCTCGAAAAAAGGACAAAATTTTAGTTATTTTTCCTTCTTTCCATCCGTGCTGCCATAAGTGTCTCCAAATGTCGTTTTCACTTTTATTAACTTCTCCACAAAGCACACATTGCAAGCTAATTCATGGCGGTGGGGGCAGAGACAGAGGAATGTTGCAATAGTGGAAATCCATCAACTGATCAGTTGCAGTATGAAGGATTGTTGAGTATCCTCCAATACCTATTTTCTTTTTAAAATTTTTATTAGTACATGTTTACCATACATTATGATTACATTCATGGTGGGAGGTTGGTACATCTACATAACACATCTTGACTTTTTTCATCCTCCCCTCTCCACTCCCTCCCACCTCCCTCCATCTCTTGGTTCAAAATCTGTTTGATCTTTCCAGAAATGTCACTCTCAGCCATTCAGATGACATCCTTCCTTTTCAACACAGTGGGTAGGTTGTGCCAGTTCCAGCTCCCATCCCAGGAGGACCTCCTGCCAGCCTCCTTGACATATGCACATGGCCACAGTCAGACCCAGCACCATCTGTCCCCTGTGGTGAGGTGAAGATCCAGTTCTGCCTGAGTCTGTGTCCCAGGGGGAGAGGAGCTGGAGTGAGCCACCTCTTGGGATTTCACTGGGCAGGAGGAGACTGGGCTACTGCAGGAGTTCTGGGGGATGGGCTTGGTGGCATTGCTGCAATCACTGTTATTTTGGGGATGGAAGCTTTAAAATGTATGACAGAACCATATAAATCCACGAAAGAGTTACATCAGCCATGGGTTTCATCCCTGCTCTCACAGCAGAACTGTGGTGATGATTCGGAAAAGCAGGAATGTACTGAACACACCCTAGACCAGTGAAAAGGAAACTCCAGCTGTATAGCCCAAAGACACAAATCTGGGTGATTCAGATGCACAGACAGCATTAAAAGGCAGTGACAGAACCTGACATGAGGAGCCTCCTGATGTGACACAATACAAAACACAACATCACCAAGGAAGTATCATTACCAAAAATGTCTAACCTGAATCCAGCTTCGAGAAAACAACATGCCAACCCCGGTTGTGGATATTCTATAATACAAGTGGCAGGACTCTTCAGGGAAGTCAATGCCATTAAGAGAAACAACGAAGGCAAGATATTTTAGACTAAAAGGCACTAAAAAGACATAATTCAACACATAAACCTTGATTGTGGCTCAGAATTAAAACACACACAAATATTATAAAAATCTTTGGAAACAACTGGAGAACTTTGAATATAAAATGTAGATTAGATGTTATTAAATCATTAGCTTTTTTAGCTGTGATGATGATATTGTGGCTGTGTTTGAGAAGTTACTTATACAAATGTTCTGCTCAAGAGCAAGTGTTTCCAGTGGTTCTCCATAAATGGCATGTGCATGAAAAAAAGGTGGCATTCTTTAAAATCTTTGACTCTTAACATTTTTAGCACCCCAGCAGCTGTGGATCAGCACACCTCAAAGCCACCTCCCTTTCCACTCTTCTCCAGCTCCTCTTCCAGTCTTAAGCCCTGAGTCCCTAGAACAGTGGATCCCAGACTCATGTCAGCCTGGAGAGCTGGTTACAGCAGTTTCTGGTCCAGAGGTCCACGTGACAGACACCAGTTATGCTGACACTGCCCACCAGGCACCACCCTCTGTTTTAGAGGGTAGAGACCAAGGACTGCCATTCACCCACACACAGCCAACCCTCCCCAAGGTACTGGCTTCCAACCCACAAAGCTACCCCCTTTTCCAGGAAGATTCTTTGCAATGTGGCAGTAATTCCCACTAGGGGGCAGCACACCCTCATAAAAATAAAACCCTGCCAGGAAAGGAATTTGAACCTGAAGGCCCTTGATTGAAAACTCTGATGTCCCAGGGAAGACAGAGGTGGTTGAGGCAATAAGGATCAGAGTATAATCATTCGTTATTTTTGGGTAGTGCTTCAGGGGCATCAAACTTTCCCATACTTGACCTCAGCTGAAGTATAGAACAGCCCTGAGGCAGTTGAATGGGAATATTTCTATGTGAGAGAGTTGAATAGGAATATTTCTTGTGAACAAGGTTCTAGAAGGTTGTCCAAGGCCAGAACACTGGTCATTCCCTAGATCAGTAAGGGGCGATGCAGGGCTCCAGCTCCAGCAGGCACAGGTGCTTTCCCTCTTGAGCCCCCAGGACCTCTAGCAATCAATCACAGCTCTGATCTTTCTCTCTCTTTACTCTCTGTTCATCTTCACAACTTGTGAGGCACACCCTCTAATTATCCCCTCTCTGCAGATAAGAAGTGGCCAGTGGGCCAGGAGGAAGTAAGAAAAATACCTTGTACAATTAATAGTGAATCTAGGATTTGAACTCAGATCTGTCTGACTCAAGACTCCACCGACCCAGAGTGGTCAGGAGCACTGTGTCAAAGCAGCACCTGTAGTAGGTGATATAAGGTACTCACCCTCAAGCAGCAGCCAGGCCAGGAAAACCCAGGGGCCACAGGAAGCCCACCAAGGTGAGTACTGTTTACAGATGAGGTAGTGTGGGCCAAAGGGGTTGATTCACTTGCCTAAGACCACAGCACTTGAAGTGATGGAGCAGGGATTTATTCACTCCAGATCATGTGCTATACCTGCTGTCTTCTTATACCTCTCACCCCCAAATTTTCTGAGCCAAAATGTTAGAAATAGAAAATGTCCTAAAACACGTGGGACATTCAGTGGCTATGTCATCCCTGTGTCACATCTCCAGGGCCTCCCTATTCAGACTCCTGCCAGGCAAGCATCCTCCAGCCCTCAGAACCCACCCCCTCATCCCTTGTCAACACAGGCTTTGCTTCTCCTAGACTGGCCCAGAAAAAGGAAGTGAGACCATTTTGTACACTGAGGACCCTTCAAGTAAAGTTGCTGTAGAAGGCCCAAGAAGCTTCCTCATGACCCTCACTTGTCTCCACACCACTCACCAAGAAGCCCAATGTAAGGGCAGAGCCAGAAACCACATATGGGGCTGGAGGCCTGCAGGTGTGCTTTTTTGGGCCTTTGCGGCACCCTTATCCATGCAGCGCCAACTCCCTGGGTAACCCTTTTGCTCTTCCTCAGAGTCCAGTCATGAAACCAGGGCCCCTGTCCCATGGCTGTCACTTCCTGATGAGTACACTTGTACAAAACTATGCACCCTTCTCTGCTACTCCTAGAGCCAGCTTACATACCTGCTAAAAGGGAAGGGAGACTGTATGTTGAAAAGAATACTGAATTTAGAAATCTGACTTTTAAAGTGTGAATAAAATCCCAGTTTCAGCTCTCACAAGCAGGAGACAAGGGCGAAACTCTTAATTTCCCTGGGTTGGGCATCAGTTTGCTATCCCTACCATGAGACTCATAGCTCCAGTATCATCTAACAAAAATCCTAGGCTACAACATACAGTTAAAAAGGGTAGAGGTTGAACATTCCTGATATGAAAATACGAAATCCAAAATAGCTCCAAATCTGAAACTTTTTGAGTGCCAAAATGGTGCCTTAAGTGGAAAATTCCACACTTGACCTCTTATGATGGGCCACAGTCAAAACACAAGTGCACTAAAAATATTGTATAAAATAATCTTCAGGCTGTGTGTGTAATGTATATATATATATGAAACTAATGGATTTCCTGTTTAGACTCAGGCCCCATCCTCAAAATGGCTTATTGTGTATGCTCAAATATTCCAAAACTCAAACCACTTCTGGTCCG